GCGTTGGATAGTTTTTCGAATACCAGCATGAGAAGCTAAAGGGCTGTCATGGAGCTTCTGCAGGATATTTAATCTAAGACTAGCTGGGATAACAGGTCGAAATTCGTTGTTGGGAATTCGTAGTTTTTGTATAGAATAATAGACCATCTATTAGTTCGTAATGGGCCGCGCCCTATTTCTTATCGCCACAATATCTTGGTGGCTAAAATTTTCAGGATCCTTTAAATACTCATAAATGCTTCCAAACTCAGGATCCTTACCCAGTTCGGTTATTACAGTTTTCTCGGGAATTTATTGTACATGCTGTGAGCATTGCCACATTTACGGTATTACCTTGTTCATCTATTTTAATTCGTGATAGGGGCACTTGCTACGATATTTTCCTTTCCGAGGGTATGCTTGATTACCAGATTATATTCTTGCAGCTTGAGTGCCCATCTTATTAACCTTGGGGATAAGTTTTTTCCCTGAGTACAATCTAGTTACCGCCGCTGATCAGAGTACACTGTTATTGGCGCCTTTCCAAATAGACTCGGAACTTTTGCACTGCTAACAGAAACTGCAAGTGCCTCTCTCTCGGTTCGCGGATAGTTTCTTTGTGTTTGATTTAAAGTTCGGCTTAAAAAATGCCACGGGGCTGCTGATTTTGCGAGAAAGTACCGCTCCTACCGCATAATCCGAAGCATCCGCTGAAATTTCTAAATTTTCATCCTTTTCAGGAAATTTCAACACAGGGGCTTGCGTTAATGCGTGTTTTAATTTTTCGAAAGCACTATTGGCTTCGGCCGTCCACGAGAATCTTGCTTTTTCCTTTTTAATTTTAACAATGGTTCAGCAATAGCGCAAAATTTTTTATAAAGGACCTATAATATGAAACAAAGTCCTAAAAAGAAGAGAGCTTCTTCGCCGTGTTTGGAGTCGGATACTTTTGTACAGCGATATTTTGATTCGTCTGTCTCGATTCCTTTTGAGATATTTTGTAACCTAAATATTTTAATTCAGGGGCTGCAAATTTGCACTTTTCGACATTAACTTTTAGACCGGCCTCATTTAATAAAAGAAAAACACCTGTCTTAAAGCCTGTACATGTTGGTCGAGATTATCACTAGTCAATGATATCGTCTAAATAGATAAATGTGGACTTTCCAAGACAGGTCTTAAACACCATGTCCATGCATCGCTGAAATGTTGCCGGCGCCCTGAAAGGCCAAACGGCATACGCAAAAATGCATAAGTGCCAGACTGGTTATAAAAGCAGTCTTAGGCACGTCCTCAGGCCTCACCCCTATTTGAAAATAACCAGTCGTTAAGTCTAAAGTCGTCATATATTTGGTGGATTGTTGTCCTTAGAATTTCTTCAATAATAGGTAACGGATATACCGGATATTTAGTTATGGATTTAATTTACCGTAATCAATTGCGAATCTCCACCTTTTTGGTTGTCAAAGGATAGTCATTATTTTTTCTTACATAAAAACCACCGGGCTAGCATAACTACTTGAGATGGGCGTTATGATCTTTTTTACGTAGCATATCGGGATATGCCATTCTATAATTTTTCCTTATTCTTATCATACCGGTATGCTTTGGTGGCGAAAACTGGCATTGAATCTCCGGTGTCAATACTATGGTTAGTAACCTGAGTAAATCCTGGAATATCACTAAATAACGAAGCAAAATTCACTTACCACTTGTCGGATTCTTCCTTGCTCGTCATTCAGGCAGGTGGTCAAGATTTAACATCGGCGGTTCAGCCTTTTTGCACGAACTGGTTTCATTGTCAGCTTAAGGGACGCTTCATTAAAATCCAGCGTTGCTTGTGCCTCTGAAAGAAAATCTATTCCTAAGATCTATGTGCTTGCAGATTCTTTACTATAAAAACATCACCTTTACTTGTTCGTCCTTGATACGCACATACAGCGGTACTTTACCTTATACACTTACATTTTCTCCTTGCGCCGCTAACATGTCGTATTATCCGAATTATATATGCGGTATTTCCGAAAATACTTCTAAAAAAATCTTCTGCCACAAGAACACTGCGCGCCTGTATCCAGGAGTGCGGGTGGCTGGGATATTATTCACAACACTTCACATCTTCGGAAGAGTCAAAATTTTTCACCATTACTGTATTTAACTTGAAGGAAGAGGGGGTTTTCGTGGCCTTCGGATTTCGCACCCTCTCGTCAGCAGAAATCCGTTTTAGTTTAAATTATTTTTTCATTTCCGTGCTTTCCTTTTTTTTCCACTGGCCTTGAGACTTTTTTCCTGGATTGCTATTGAACTGTCGACGTTCGCCGGCTGTTTTTAATGCTCGGGTTTCCTTGCCCACTGATTCGCTTTGCTTCCGTAGCCCGTGTGCTTGAGTTTGCTGTAGTCTTGGCGCACCAAATTGGTTTCGCTGTTGATATTGGCGTCTTCTTTCGACGTCCGCCGTTCTTTCTACTTTCAAACTGGATTGCTAGCTCAAATAACTTTTCCGTGTAGTCGGATTTCTTAATTCAATAAAGTCTTGCACTTGGGCAGTAACCTCGGCAAAATCACTTGAATTATCTCATGATCCGGACGGTTTCCATACAAGAGTTTGAAGACGTGAATTTTTTTCTTAAATAAAAGCTCGAGAGGTTTTCGATTCTTTGTTGATATATACTAAAAAGTTCCGTTTCTAATTTCGCACGATCCCTTACAACAGGGAAGGCTTTTACTAGGGCAGTCTTGAAATTCTCGTAAGTATAGGTGGGACTTCCTGCTTGACCCAAGAGACTTCTGCCTATACATTTGAACCAGTTAAGCGCTTGGCCCCTCAAAGCGCTGGTAGCTAAGGTAGGTAACTTTTTGAATCGTGCACGGGGTAGAGCATGAAGTGGTCATCCAATTTTTCCAAAAAACTGGTTACCGGTGAGTTTCCATTAAATGTTGCTTCTGGTTTCATCGAAGCGCGCATTGGTCGGACGATGTAACCCAAATCCTTCCAGGGCGGCAGCTGGCATTTCTGGATTCTGAGCCGTTTCTGCAGGCAGCACAGGTTCTTCTTGAAACTCGGCCATGGTTATTCTTCTCTTGGGCGCCACTTCAGGTTCAAGTTCCGTCTTACCTTCTGCAATTGAATATCTCATTGCAGGTTTCCGTACAAGTTTGTAACAAAACAGGTTACGACCAAAAGCACTGGTCTATTGAGTCATGGTATCAGGTCCTCTTACCTTCTTCGGGAACATGCAAGGACCTGACTCGGAACAGAGAGCTTACTAAAGCTATGTTCAAAACTGTGGAAGTAGACAGGATACCAAGAAGGGTATACAACACCCTTTATTTTTCTCTATTTACAATAACTTCCGTACTTCGGAATTGCACAGACCCACTACTTGGGTCTAAACGTAAAAATATAAAATATAAACTAAACTCTAATTTAACTTTAAAATGATAAACGTGGAAGATTGGCCTTATATAACAGGAAGCCGTATGTAGTACAGAGAAAATGTGAACACTACAATACGTTTAAAATTATCAAGAGGATTAAAAACTCTGGCCTTGGAAGGCAACCAGCAACTGAGTAAAACTTCTAAGGTAAGCGGCCTGCTTGACTCACTGCTTTCTCGCTCTCGCTTGGCAAAAAGCCACAACTTAAATACTTGGCGTTCGCCAGACAAACTTTGCATAAATACATTAACGCTTATAATTCTGGCCGGAAGTAGAAAATAAGAAGTGATAGTAAAGATTTAAAATAAAATAAACGTTAGTAAAACTTAAGATCCTTACAATGTGTTCTAAGGCATAACGTTATTGTAAAGGATACCAAGGCCATCAGCAGGTTTAACGCTCTTCAAAAGAGGCTCGTTAAAGTGAACCATACACATTACACAAACACGAATGCACATTGTGAACTGAATTTTGGTTCACAATGTGTTCACAATTGAAACATTGTGAACACATTGTGAACACGAACACATTGTGAACTGAAATTTGGATGTTCCGTTGGGTTTTTAGCGCAAAAGATTAAGGTCACATTCTCAGCCACCGACCGACCGACATTAGATTTACATGAGCTTCTGAAGGATACTGTGGAAACAAATTCACAACAAAGCATTCATGTTGCTGCAGAGAAGCTTGATTATATACTAAAACACCGTTATTATTGGTGCCAGTTAGGAAAGCACATCATCTCGAAGCGTGTAGTTTACTTTGTCTAAGGAATAAACGGAACGGGAAGAAGTTTACGCTAGAATTTTACATACAGTGGAAGATAAATAAGCACAATAACCATTAACGATAAACAACCAGGTAAAATATGAAAAAGGAGCGCAGCATCAACCCGTACATTTCCTCCATTCACAGAATGTATTCCTGCTTTTATGATGTTTTGCTGCTGGAGTGATTCACCTGTTCTTCTCTCTTTGGTCTAAACTATCATGGCGGATTCTTATAACGTTACATTTGCATGACATGTAACATCAGTATGTTCTCAGAAGTCCAAATCTAGTTAACAGATATAATGCTCTTATGTTGCTTGATAGTATTCTGTTATACGTATATTGATATCGTATCGACTTTGCAAATTCTCAGTGAATTGCAGTAAAAATTCTTCATCTGCCATACTCTTATGACAATTATCCTGTCTTTCGTAGTCTGAACGCCTTTTCAACCCCCCAAAATTTCGTTTATAACATGGAGGTCTAGTCTGCAATTGATAATTCTTCGCATCACAGACACCTGATTTATTTAGACCTTTGATTGTATAGTTGACACAGAGGTGACAGAAGTGTACATACGTCGAGGAAGACTATTTTTATTAACCAAATATTGATGATTTCATTTACCTAGCATTTCAAATTGCGACATTAGGATGTCATGTTGACAAATGCCTTTCTGACACTTTTTTCGCACCAATCCAATATTAAGTATGGAATGTTAAGTACTGACATTTCCAACATAAAAATACTTTTCTTGTTACAAATTAAGAGAGTGATTAAAATAATGCTTATTCATTTGTTTTTCCGTTTCAGCAAGACGGACAAAGATTTGACTGCAGTTCTACAATTAAAATGAAAGTACAGACTCCTTACAAATTCGTATTAACATTTCGACCTCCTCTGAAGATTAAGTAAGTATACAGAGTTAAAAGTTTCATCCACTTTCTAAAATTCTCTGGCTGAGTTAAGTGCTGTGCTACCCTGATAATTTTAAATAAGCATTGTAGGAAATAATCCTTCAGTTTCTAATCCAAAATGAAAACATATATTGAGAGTAAAAAGTTGCATTCTAATTCCACTGAATAATCTTACGATCCAGAAACAAACGTAGTTATGTCCTGTCTTAACTTAAAAATCCCATGGTACAACTGATAAGAATAAACGTGTAAACGCAAGTAAAATATTTTCTAGCATCTCAGCTTGAAATTCCTAAAAATAACGGAGCTACCGCTACTTGCGGCTTCAGAATATAACAGGAATTCAATTAATCATGAGTCAACTATTAAAGACTAAGCTAATACGCTTCCTCATGAATAACAGATGAAGTTTTACTTATTAAAAATTAGTATAGCACTTCAATAGGTTAAATCTGCATTGCAGAACTCCGATTACCAAAGCTTTCTACTTGAGATTAGATTCTTACTCATTATTTAAAATCCCTTGATTTGCATTTTCTGGAGTAAATGAAACAGCAGAAGTACAGGAAAGGTTTAACATAAATAACATGTTAATTAAAATAAATCTTAAAAACCAACTTATGCTTAACATACTGAGAAGACGGCCTTTTATAAATTAAAATGAATGCTTTACGAGAGTCATACAGCATTTTTTTTTCTGGGCTATTTTCAGTTTTGTCTACTATGATTACAACCCTTCATTATTATAAATATTGCACACTCTTTCTTAGTCGCATTTCAAGATAACAGCAATGTTTAGTGCCGATTTCTGATAGTTGCATGTTATGTTCTTTGGTCTGCTTTCCTGGTTTCACGATTAGCTGTGCATTGCAGTTTCTTACTTAACTTCCAGTAGAGCTGTAGCGCTTCTATATTGAAAAAATTAAGCTTGTAACACAGATCATCATAATAACCCACAAAGCAAATTCTAAAGCAGTAATCACTTAACGAAAGGCTCTCCAGCAAAGCAGTCACAGATCTAAACTGATTGCAAGTTCTAAAGTAACCGATATTTATCCACAAATGTCCAAGGGAAAATGAAAGTACTTCTGGAAGCTTCGAGAAAAGTAGTTTTTCAAGACTTTGGAAACGCGTTTTCCAGAAACTTCCCAAACACCACCATGTTGACAACAAAATGCAATATATCGCCAAAAGGAGGACTTTTGTCCATACATCTAGCCCTGTTTAACAGTTTTCACAATTCAAGCGTCATCTATTTAGAATTAAAAGTTCAGCAACATAGTACATGAAAAACACTTGCAAATAATGAGCGCTCACAAATTCAGTTAAATAAAATTACGCAGGAGAATTATTGCCTAAAGTGTAATAAATAAGTTGTAAAGGCATAAAGTTATTTTGAAGCAGGAGACGTGAAAAGGAGCCGTGCCTTCGCCGGGACTCGAAGCCTGCACCTCTCGAATACGCATCGAGTGTGCTGCCAATTAATTACACCAAGAAGGCATGCGGAAAGGAGGGAGAATATAACTTATATACTCTTCCATTTAAAGGACGGCTCGGGATTATGGGAACCAATCGCCAAATCCTGTGGTGACAAAGTATGGTCCACTACCTTTTAGTTCTGGCCAAGAATTGAATTCTGAACCTCTCGATATGCGCCGAGTGTGCTACCGTTACACCACGAACGCATGCTGGAAGGAGGAAGAAAATTCTTTATATACTCCTCATTTTTAAAGGGTGACTAAGGATTAGAGGACCTAGTCGCCTAAGTCCTGCTAGTGAAGAATTATTGTCCTACACTTTTCAAATCGGACGCCAGTTTTAGAATCATTAAGTTATTTGAAGGAGACGTGAAAAATTAGTAATGCTCTAGTGGGGACTCGAACCCTGGAGCTCTTGAATACGCGTCAAGTATGCTTCTAATTACACCACGAAGGCATGCAGAAAGAGGGAACAAAATCCCTTATAAAGTAAATAAAAACAGTAAACAACACCGCAAAATATACAATCTAAATTACTAAGAAAAGCACATAAATATTTACGAAAATTCGTGTATCTAAATTTAATCAATCTGTTATTTTTTTTTTTTTTTTTTTATTTTTTTTTTTTCAGCAGCATTCTGCAGTCAGTCTTTCTTTTGTTTTCATTTGATTTTCTAAGAACTTTGTAGGAATATTCTTTTGTGTCGCGTTCTCAAAAAGTGATGTACAAGCCGACCTTGAAATAATAACAATAATAATAGCCCAGCAAAAATGTACTTGGGGCCACATGCAAAGTTTAATATTTAACCTATATTACTTTTGCTTCTGGAAAATTTACAATCCAAAACTATTTATCAGTAAAGAAATACTGACATAACATTTTAATTGGGACACTGAACAAATTGCAATTATATCTACGGGCATGATAGCCATTCCGAAAAGTGTATTCATCTTAAATTTTTGTTCTTTTACTTTTCGAATGCTCGCTAGGAGAAATGTTGCTTGCAAGTTAAAAAAAGAGACATCTGCTTTCAGAAATAGATGTTATAAATAAAAAAATGTTCATGAAACTTCTCTTAGATAGATAGAACTTATTTAAATAAACACTTTTTTACTTAGCGTTCATAAGTACAGCTTTATACACTCCATTATCATTGCAGGTATGTTTAATGGCAAGTGAAAATAAAATCTATTAGTCTATATTCTGTATATATATAGTTCAGAAAATACACTGAAATTGAGTTGGCGCTTTTTGTTATGTTGAAACTTACCCCCAAAGAGATCTGACAAAATGGATAATGTGCCGCATAATTTTTACTATTTAATAACGTTGTTCAGACAGGATTCTATGTCTCCGCTTAGAGATTTGAATTTTGCTCGATTTCATCTCGGATGCTATCTTTGAATGTTGGATCTTTCAGTAATCCCATGAATTCCACAGCCTTACATCTTTTGCTTTAAGATCGTCCTTCATCCTTCTGTTTTGGTTTTATTTTCTAACAATATTGTTGTCCTTAAATATCCTAACAACTGCACCAGAAAAGAAAATTATTTTCCCCCTCCAAACCGTAATCTCGCTAGAATGTTCTTTCGGAGCTTACATTAGCTTTGCCTTACTCACTCTTCTTCTACCTTCCATCTGTTAAATTCATATTTCTTTCATTTTTTAATCTGTTAATTTAAGTATTAGAAACCAATGTGAAAGCACCTTTATATATCTATGCTTACATTTTTGGGTTCGTGTTTGAGATAGTTCATTATCCCTTTTCACTCAATTTTTAATTTAAGTACTGGTTCTCGCAACATTAAAAGCACATGTTAAATGAAACGCACAATAAAATTAAAAAATCGAATTTTAATCCCTGCCATTTCGTCTTCAGAATTTGATGTCACCAACTGCATTTTGTATTGATAAGAAATAATCCTCATTCATTTGCAAAGACATGCCATTCTATTTATTCAATATTCTTTGTGATTTTTATCTTGTTTATAAACTTTACCACTAATAAACCATTTTGAGACATTACGATTTAAAAAAATTCCAAACATAGATTATTTTTGAACTTTTAAGGAAATAAAATGTAAATATTTGACTTTTTACTTCCTTGTACGAAGTAAAAAGGAAGTATTGTAATCGCGAAAAGTTTCTGGCAACATATTTCAACGAAAATATCCATTTTGACCGCTTTCGAATGTAATTTAACGATGTATTTGCGTGATATCTGTACGTAAGGACAGAATAATAGACTCTTTTCCTCCAAAAAAATTATAAAACTGCTTAAAATGAATTCTGAAGATAATTTTTCGTGGTGTCTGTACGTACGTACGCATGTACGTATGTACGTACGTATCTCGCATAACTCAAAAAACAGTAGCCTCAAAACGTTGATATTTTGTATATAGGACTGCTATAAACATGTAGATGTGCACCTAGCTATTTTGGTTGCAATCGGCAGCACCAAAAGTATATAAATATATTGTATATATATATCCACTCTGTTACCTCGGCTCAGTGATCTCAGTTTTTACTCGTATATGTTTGTAAATTGTACATTTTTTGCTTTAAAAATGATTGAATTATGTTGTTTTTATCTTCCGGTTGAGGTTTTTATGCCCTTAGTAAATCTGTATTCAATATTTTTAGAATTATCAACAATTTTAAAATTGTTTAAGTGCCGCTAAGCCTAATAATTTTTCTGATGGCAGCCATTGCTTGTTTACATTTGAAACAGCATCGTAGTGGATTTGTTGCCAATCTAGAGAAACGTAGCTTCGCAACAACAAAGATAACGCCTTCATTTATTATTGCGAATTAAATCATGCTTAATCCTTTCTGGAATTTTTTCGAGGAAATAAGTGTTTAAGATTTATTTCGTAATTTTTAATACAGATATTTTGAGTTTTTATGCATTTTTGCCTTGTCGCGAAGTGAGAATTGAATTTATTGAATGAGAAATACTCAATCGTCCGTGAAAAACTGGTTCTTTTTTGTTTTGTTTGCTTAATTTCTTTTATACATCGTTCTAGCTTTATTATAGTATTAGAATAGAACATGTGGCAACGATTAGATAATTCTTTAAATGATGTAAATTTTGTGCATTCTGAGTTATAATATGAACGAAATATAATACTGTTAAGTGAACCTAGCGCCAGAGTGTCGCTATGATAAACAAATACTAGAGTAAATTTTAAAGAATGCATTTATTCTATTGTGGTTTATGATCTGTCGGCGAAGTAGGTTTAATTCAATCCAATAAGTTTAAACGAAATGCAAGAAAAAATTCGTATAATTTAATATTCCGTACAAGGAAATCATGAGGTGTACACATCAGATTTTTTATTTTCAGTTGTACTGCGAATCGACTTCCATTCCTCCCTTGCAATGGCTAGATACTTGATCCTTAAACATTCTTCGGCAATACCAAATAACTTCGATTATTTAGCCATTTCCCTAACCAAGAATGCTGTCCAGGATACAATTCGAAACAGGATCCAATGACGTGGAAATCGGGTTCC